TTATCATTTATAATGATAGGCATAGTAATATTATCATCATCATTAATGATGTGGATACATTTATGTTTATCGAAATAATTGACAAATAGTATTCTTTTTTTAAGAAAAAAAGAACTGTGAAAAGAGAAATAAAGATATAATAAGGAAACTATTTAATAACAGTAGTTGAAATCATCAGTCAATTGAAGCTAGGCCACTATGGAAAACCTGGAGGTACCGAACAACCGTTTCGTCCCAGTATGGGACTCCTCAGTAGTTCGCATCCACGAATCCGCCCTCCGCGAGATTCCAAACCACTGAACCAGCCAATATCAAACAATGTTAATGTCTAAATTCAACCAATCCACGAAATTGTTCTTCCGTTCATCATTGTCTTTAGCGAGCTAATATCTCACAACGGACCTGGTTGAACTCCACTAGGGCGGGATTGTGGATGCGCACTGCCATGGAGGAGTCCAATACTATAACAAATCGGCCGTCTAGTACTTCCAGGTTTTCCATGGTAGTTTGGCTTCAATTGACTAATGATTTCAACTATTGCAATGACTAAAATCTCCACAAAACCCCTTCTGATATGTAATAACAAGTAGAAAGAGAGAATAAAATTCATTATTCTGTTGAAAACTGAATTGAAATATTCAAGAATTAATTTCTTTTGTATTTTAATTGAGATCATGAACCAATTGATGTTGGACCACCATTGAAAACCTGGAAGCCCTGGACGGTCGTTTCGTCCTATCGTGTGACTCCTCAGCAGTGCGCATCCCCGATCCTACTTGCAAGAGTCTAACACAAGGCATTCATTCTCGCGCGCGAACTCTTAATCTATCAGGTCACTCAGCCGGTCGGCCTCTAATGGTGTTAATGTCTAACCCCAATAATGAACGTGTATCTTGTGTTTGTAAATATTTTAATAGCCCGGTATCTTACTCCACTTAAATGGGCACACTACTTTAGTGGCTTTTATATCTGACTCCAGTTTAATCGTTTTTGATTTCTATAGAAATATAAAGATCGTCAATCTTCACATAAATTTACTGACTTAACTCACGTTAGTGAATAATACAATCAAATAAATACAAAAATGAAGTTTTGAATACGTCTATTTTGTACACTTATTGATCTGGGACAAACAATCAGAGGGACGAAGTGAAGCGGAAGGACACTCAGTAGAGAAGGCATATGAGCCAACTTCATTTGATCAAGCATTAATCAATATTTATAGCCAGATAAAAATAAGTTACAGACATGTGATGAATAGGATAATAAGTGTAAATACATATATGCTCATGTAAAAACAGTCAGGGTTGATAAGTGAATAATTAACAAGTTCAAAATGTGATTCAAGAAGAATGAATAGACTAGCCTGTCCAGAAGACAGGTTTAGCATAGTAACCGACACTACAATATAAATAAATACACTGATTGATAGATAGATAGATAAATTTAAAATATTCAAAATGAAGGTCGTTTTGATTATAGAATAGTATCAGCTGAAGATTTGTTGAAAATCAAGAGAGAGAGTGAGAGAGAGAGATAGAAAAAAAAGACGATAAGCAACAGTTTTGAGTTTATCTTGGTTTAGAACATTTCATTGGATTGTAAACACATAATTTTTCATTGGATTTTACATTCTTGAGATAATTATAACATGACCTATTCATTCAGGTAGATTCTAATAGATCAAATATTAAACTTCAGTGAGTTTATAACATAACGTAGCCATTATCTGTAATATAGGTATTAATAGTAATGTTGAACTTCATAGTTTCAAATAAACTGAGCATTGAGTGGTAAGTTAATAATAAATATAGTTTTGTTATATCCTAATCAGTAGAAAAATTATATTTCTAATGTTTCGTAACTTAATGTAAGTCACTTCTTTTAAGTTAATTTTAACTTAGCTGAACTCCATTTCACTCAAATTTTCATTAGAATTTCAAGTACACTTTTCAAGAGTAGTCATTTGTAAACACATAACTATTACTCAAGATTGAAGACGTTGTCATTTGAGAGTCATAACAGTCATAACATCATCATCATCATCCAGAGGTTCTTTGATTTCAACGAAAATCCAGTTAATCTCATCCAGGTACAAATAAAATCTTGGGAAACGTATAGATGAACACTCCGTTATCTTCATAAAATTATGTAATTTGTAAATTATTATAATTATATGGTGTTGTCTGAACACTGTTTTGACTATGAAGAGTACATTTATTGAAGTTCACTTATAAATTAAAACGTTTTCAGAATTTTTCAATAAATGATGAATTGAACTTAGTGAAACATCAACTAATTGAATATATATCTACTAGTTGAATTGTAAGGATTGATACTATGTCAAACTCACATAGGTTATTCTAGTCTCTAAACAAATCAATCTATTCATTTTTATCAAGCCACATTTTTACCTTGTCAATTATTCGCTTATTAATCTTGACTGTTATTTTATATGATCGTTTGTGTGTTAATTAATTATTCTACTGATTATGTGTCTGTAACTATAAATATCGATTTATAATTGTTTAAATCGAGTCGTCTCAGTTGTCTTCTCAGATCCGCTTAGTTCTGTCCTTTTTGTTTCATTTTCCTGATTGTCTGTTCAAATCAATGAGTGAATGAAACATACATATTAAAACTTCCTTCTCGTATTTGACTTATTTAATTCCGTTATTTACGAACGTGATTCAAGTCGATAAAAATATACGAGGGTAGCTAGGATGTATATTTCAGTATGATAAAGGGTCATCAAAGAATGAATATTAATTGTCAATCTAATTAAATGGTATTTTAGTAACTACGATACCTGAAAAACCGTGATATAATCATATATCTAGTTAAGGTTTATCATTTATGAGGAGTATAAGAATGAAATGGAGTATCTTATCAGTTCATTTAGTTTGGAATAGTAGTTTAGTAGTTTAAACAGTTGATTTTCAATCACCAATTTCCAAGTTAAAAATATATTTCCATAATATCACATTTAAACTATAAGTTAAAATCAACTATATAAATCTATTTCTATTGTGAATGTCTCATGTTACCATGGTAAAATACTGTGAGGGTTAATAAAAGAAAAAGAATTTTTGTGAAAAGATGTAAAAATTTCAAAAAAATAATTACTAATACAACTGATGATAATTTGATGGAATAGAAAAACTGGTGAAACTATAGTTTATGGACGAGCTTTGAGTGACGCCAGACTGACTTTGAGAGTGTCCATCTAATAACCAGGAACAAATAAGGGTTATAAATCAGTGTGAGCAATTAAAATTATGATTTACGGTTGTTGATTAAGGTTGGAAATTAGATTTTGGGGTTTTCATCATGAACTGACATCAGCTATAATATCAAAACTCTATTTTGTCAAACTGATGAGTGAATTTCGCGTCAAAATCCGAAGCCTATTATCTTATACTCTTGATTGGTTCTTCCATAGGTTATAGTCTCACCACTTCAGTCATTATCACCAGTAATGTGATGATTCAAATTCTTATGATTAGTATCATTGACTATTTCAGTTCAATAACATTTTTGAATGTTAAATATCAGAATTCATTAGTAGTATACTAAACTTAATATTCATGAAATAGTTTATGATTCTGTTTACTTATAGTCATAATGCATCATCATGTTATATTCTTTCTTATTATTGAATCATTCAATGATTATCATCATTAACCTTTTAAATAAGAAGAACAAAATATTTATCAGTTGAAGGGTTGTGAAGATTCTTAAGTTTTTGATTGAAATCATGAACCGATTGATGTTAGATCATCATTGAAAACCTGGAAGCACTGAAACACCGTTTCTTCCTATGTTGTGACTCCTTAGATGTACGCATCCACAATAAAGCTCGCAGGATTTGAACTCAGGGCCTTCAGTCTCACGTACGGACGATTAACATACTGAACCACCAAGCCGGCATCCAATGCTGTTAATGTCTAGCCTCAACCAATTCACGAATGTGCGCGACCATCTTCTATTGTACTGAGGTAGATACCTGTCTCTTTCCGACACGGATTAGCTCCACTGGTCACGGCTCCGAGAATTTTTTCACGAAGCACTGCTGAGGAGTCCCACGATAAGACGAAACGGCCGTCCAGTGTTTCCAGATTTTCAATGGTGGTTTAACATCAATCGGTTCATCATCTCAATCAAAAACAAAATATTTATTAAGATCATGAGTCAGTTGAAGCTAGGCCACCATGGAAAACCTGGAAGCACTGGACGGCCGTTTCGTCCTACTGTGGGACTCCTCAGCAGTGCGCATCCACGACCTCGCCCCCTGCGAGATCCGAACCCAGGACCTACTGGTTTCGCGCGCAAGCACTTAACCACTAGACCACTGAGCCGGTATCCAACGGTGTTCATGTCTAACTTCAACTAATCCACGGAATTAAGTGACACATCCACCATTGTCTTCATCAGTGAGTTACTATCTCAAAACAAACCTGGTTGAACTCCACTAATCATTACTTCTCACTAGAACTCCAGGATATATACCTCTTGAAGCCAGTCACTAGTGAGCATATGTTAATTAATATCAGAAGGGGTTTTCTGGATATTATAATAATTTCAATGGTTAAAATCATGAGATGAAACGACCATCCAGTGCTTCCACATTTTCCATGGTGGTCTAACTTCAACTGACTTATCATCTTAATCTAAATTGTTACTTTATTTAAAACAAAACAACAACTTTAAGTCTATAAATCTTTTAATATTATTAAAAATCGATATAATCTTTAAAATAATAAAGAAAATCAATAATCGATTCAGTTCAATTGTCTTTATTTATTTCTTCTTCTTCTTATCATTATTATTATGGTATCATTAAACAATCTATCACTACTATTATCATTATTATTTAGCATAAAAGCAATAAACTACTTATATAAAGAAAAGATAAATAAATAAATAAATAAATCAATATATATTGGGATCTGTTTTTCTTTTATTTATTTAGCTTATTATCATTAAGGGAGAAAAGAAAAATGATGTTTGAATATACAAGTGATTATTTAGCTGAAAAATTACGTGAAAATTGGTTAACACGTAATAATTCTAATGAATTTATAATAAATCAACAAGAACAAGATGATTCATTAACAAATTTAAATTGGTTACAAGTTAGTTTATATTCATAATAATAATGATAATAATAATAATAATAATAATGTATAATTGATTATATATTATTAACTAAATTATTATTTATTATGGATGATGACAAGAGTTGAAATCATTTATTCATTGAAGCTAGATCATCATAGAATAATTGGTGGGGCAATTTCGTGAATTAATGGAAGTTAGACAATAACACTGTTGGATACTGACCAATTTCAGTGATCTAATGGGTTAAGCGCTTGTACGCATGACTGATAAGTTCTCGGTTTAGAGTCTCGCGAGGGATGGCGGGATCATGGATGCGCAGTGACATGGAGGAGTCCTATATTAAAACAAAACAGCTGTCCAATGCATCCAGGTTTTCCATGGTAGTCTAGCTTAAAGTGACTCATAATTTCAACTAATGGAATTATTAAAATCTACACAAAATCCTTTCTAATAATTGATTATTACTGTGTAATGTACATATTTACTAATGAGTAAATATTTAAGTATTTGATAAATACTTTAGTTACTTGCTGACTTACGTCTGTTACTCTCAGTGGAGCATAGGCTACCGACCGGCAATCTATAACCCACTCTGTCTTCGGTTTTCTTTTCTAGTTTGATCCAATTGTCATTCATTCTTCATATGTTTGTCTCCATTTCTCAACGTAATGTGTTTTTGGTATTCCTCGTCTCCTTTGAACTTGAAGATTCCATGTGATGGTCTGTCTTGTGATGCAGTTGGTAGTTTCTTCAATGTGTGTCCTATCCACTTTCAGTGCTTCTTCCTGATTTCTTCCTCCACTGAAATCTGGTTTGTTCTCTCTCACATTAGGTTGTTGCTAATAGTGTCCGGCCAAATGATCCCAAGTATTTTCGTAGACAGCTGTTAGTAAACACTTGTATCTTCTGGGTTATGGCTTTGGTAGTTCTCCAGGTTTCCACCCCATCCATTTGTATTGAAAATTCCGAGTTTGGTGTTGGTTGCCAATTGTTTTGAGTTCCAGATGTTCTTCAGTTTTAGATATGCTGCTCTTGTTTTGCCGATCCGTGCCTTCACATCTGCATCAGATCCACCGTGTTGATCAATGATGCTGCTCGAATATATGAAGGATTTTACATCCTTCAAATCTTCTCCATCAAGTGTAATTCGACTGGTGCATGTTGTGTTGTATCTTGTACCTTAGTAATATTCTAGTACAGTCGATGGTTTCCAAATATTGTTGAAGTAACTGTGGAACACTGTTTAGTATTTATCTATTTCATAATAATAATAATAATCTTTGGATCTCTGTGAATTATTAAAGTAATATATAACATTATCACAAGTGAATTCATTCAATTCTTCATATTCACTATACGTTTAGTATCATTGATTAAATTTTGTTAAGCGTCAAACTAATTGGATACTATGTTTAAGTTATTTTGAAGCCGTTTAATATTTATTCATTTACATGTCACTTTCAATATCTTAACATAGTCTGAATATAACGTCATAAAACTAGAATAGTTATTGTGACTTTAAGCCCGACTAGTTATCACGTGATTTGTTCGTCAGTCGAAATACGGTTTATACAATCTAAACATTGTGCTAAACTAATGACGTTCGACTGGTATGAGAAGCCTAGAGTCCTTATTGGTTTTCTGTTCGCTTAGCTTGTCCACTTCAGTTCAGTACGCCAATAACAGATTCCATTATACGAGTTATGTATTTCAAACATAATGGGTTTATATACCAGCAAAACAGATCGCATCACACCATAAAATAACATTTATACAAGATCAAGTTAAAAAGTGGCTAGGAACGTAGGAGATTGTAGTCGATAAACTGAACATAAGAACATTAAATGGTATAATAATAATCTCTAGGTCAAGATGAAGCTTATATTAAGAGGAAAATAGATATGTATAATCTGGTTACTGTATAGTTATATTTTTCAACACACTCTTTCAATAGTAAAAGTATGATTGCATCAGAACATTCAATTTTCATCTTTCCAATTTCACTCCACTGTAATGACTTGGATGGATACACCTCTATACTTAATTTTGACATGTTTATCTGTATTCTCGTAATAATTAAGTTGATCATAGTTCTTAAAATCATAAATTAAATCACAATTGGCTTATCACTGGGTAGCGACTCATGTAGATCGAATTTTGTCGATCAAGTTTCAATGTGACCATTGGTCTAAGTGATTCGACAACGTGTTCACTGTGTTGGGAAGTTGGTTGGAGGTGACTAACAGAATAGCACAGTGGTAACGTCTGTGGCTGTGAAGCAGTATGACACATGATCGAATCCGTCAGTTCCCTCAAGATTACAGGTAACACTTGCTGACCAATGCGAAACAGCTTAAAATCTAGATCCAGGGTATCCTGTCGACTACCTCCAACTATTATCTTACATAAATTAATTTATCATGTTTTTTCACCAAGTATCTAATCTTAGAAGTAAACTAATGAAATATTAATAAATATTGGTTGTGTGGATTCCCAAAGTGAACAAATCTGGGATGCAGGTAGATCCAACTGAAGAACCCGAAATAGGATGAAACACACGTCTTGGATTCCACTACTACCCACCATCCATCTCTGCCATATTATTAAATAACTAATCAAATCGTTTTCATTTAAAATGTTAGATCTCAAGCTGATTAGGTTATAAAGTAAAAAAATAAATGTTAGCTTAACTTGATTATAGTCTATAGCTTGCTATATGATCTTGACTGAAGTAATAAAGTAAAAAGCACAAACAATTTGACATATCATTTATATCTAGAACAGTTAATTGCTTAAAGTGAGTTAATCTACTACTTAATACATTTTGTTATATCTAATAAGCAATAAAGTTTTCCTCGTAGTACTGATAACAAAAAAGGATAACGCGAAATGTAAAATACTCAGTGAAGTAATTCTTCTTTTTCATATTGTTTTAAGTTCATCAGTTGATTTTGCTGTCTAAATATTGAACAATGGACTGTTTGATGTCTATCTAATTCTTATTGGTAATCGAGTTCTACTCATCAGGTTACAGTATGATTACTAACATAAGTAAATATGTATTATCAGAGTGACCTGTATAATATACGCTTCATACTAACTGACATTCGCCAACATTCTAGATGTATCGATTGCACACTATAGCATTGGAAACTGTATTGTGTTGAGTGACGTCTAACTAAGACTCGTGCAATGCAAACACGAGAGAATCAAGCTGGCCTTAGACCAGGTCGTGGATGCATAGATCACATATTCACCATTCATTAGGTTCTAGAACGCAGGCATACTTAGCGGCGTCCGATAATAGTGGTCTTCCTTGACTTAAAAGCAGCATTTGACTCTGTAGACCGAGAGGTTCTGTGGCAGTGTCTGTCATTGAAAGGCGTACCTCGGAAGTACATAAACCTTGTTAAGGCTCTTTACTCGAACACTACTAGTCGAGTCAGAGCTTATGGCGAACTGTCATCTGCTTTTGCAACCTCAAGTGGTATCCATTAAGGCTGTCCACTTTGTCCATTTTTGTTTAACTTTATCATAGACTTGCTGATGAAAATAACATCCTCGTCTACTGAATTCTCGGGTATTGATCTCCTACCAGGAGGTCCACTTATCGACTTAGAATACGCAGATGACATAGTCCTGTTTGGTGAAGACGCGGATGAAATGCAGAGTCTTTTGGTAGCACTGAGCAACAATGCCAGAATGTTTGAAATGCACTTCTCTCCCTCTAAATGCAAGTTGTTGCTTCAGCACCGGTCTGCGTCAACACCTGAACTAAGGATATCGAGTGAAGTAGTTGAACGCGTTGACAACTTCACTTATCTTGGAAGTCTGATCAGCCCTAATGGGTTGTTGTCTGACGAAATCTCTGCACGGATTCGGAAAGCTCGTTTGGCTTTCGCCAACTTACGTCACCTATGGAGAAGGCGAGATATCCGTGTATCAATAAAAGGACGAGTATACTGCGCGGCAGTTACTTCTGTTCTGCTTTACGGCTGCGAAACGTGACAAATAAGAGTGGAAGATACTCGTGAGCTACTAGTATCTGACCACAGATGCCTTAGAAATATTGCTGGAATCTGCTGGGATCACCGGGTAAGTAATAGTGAGGTTAGACCTAGGGTATTAGGGAATGATGGTAAATCAGTTGATGAGGTTATGGATCTTCATCGACTGAGATGGTTGGGCCGCGTGTTACGTATGCCTGAACACCGATTACCACTATGTGAAATGCTAACTGGTGTTGTGGATAGTTGGAAGAAAGTTAGGTGTGGCCAAACCAAAACGTGGCATCAGTGCTTGAAGTCACTAACCTCTGGTCTGAGCCATGTTGGTAGATGCAGACTATTTGGTTGGGGTCAGTGTGACTATCGTAACCAATGGTTGGAGACTCTTGATGACATGGCTCGGAATAGATCACAACAGCGTCGGTATATACACTCTTTGTCTGCCCTTAAACTAGGAGATTAAAATCACTTCATATATTTCTTTCTTTTTGTACTATCTCCTTATATGCAATGCTGTTGTTCTAATGCGGTATGGCGACTTGGACCGATGCATATATGTGCCTGGTCCTACGTTGCACTTAACTGACTTACTGGCTGAGTTAATTAATCAATTTATGACCTCTTGCATCTACATTCATTGATGAATAAATAACAATCAACCTAACATTAAACATAGTATACAAAATGCCGAGTCACTTAAATCAACACTAACAAACATGACATTCATAATTATAAAGTATTCTCTCAGTATAAATCTACGTAACTATGACATTTAATTAAACTGATAAGAATTTTTGGCAAGACTATAATTTATAGACGAACCAATCAGGCGTATAAGATAACAGATCTCAGATTTTGGCGCAAAATTCATTCATTCATTTAACTAAATCAAGTTTTGACATAATAGTTAATGTCAGTTCATAATATGAAAACCCTAACCCTAACTATCCACTATATATTCTAATCCTAATTTCTCATCTATATTTGATCTTCAATTATTCAATAAACAATCTATCAAGTCACTATGATGTCTTTCAATGATTATTCATAAATTATAATTTCAATGGAAAGACTATTAATCTTATTAAATTTCTATATATAATAATCATATAAATGTCAACCTTAAATTTCAATCTACTTATTATTTTAAATAAATATAAGTTTAGTTCAATATTCAATGATAAATAAGAAGTAACTCATCTATACAGCGAGCGAGCGAGCGAGCGAGAGAGAGACAGAAGAAAAAAATGCGGGAAAAAAAAAGATGCATCATTTTGTAAGTTAGAAAAAAAAAGAAAAGAAAAAAAAACAATAAAATAATAATAATAATAATTAATTAATTATTGTTATGTTAAAAGAAAGAAAAAAAAAGTTATATATTTCAGGTCAACATTTTGTTGTCAATACTATTGCAACAACAACAACAACAACAACAACAAATAAACAAACAAATGAATAGATAAATAAATAAGTAAACAAATAAACAATAAAGTAATTGACTGAACACTTTCAATAGTTAAAAAAAAAACAAAAAGTTTACAATTTTGTCTTTTTTTTTTTTTAAAAAAAAATAATAAGTTATTGTTATATCCCGATGAGTATAATGAATGGTAATTATTGAGGATCTGTTTATAGACTAATCCCATAAGTGTATTTTTATTGTATCATTATTATGTAACTAAACTATTCATATTTGTGACCCTCGTATTATGAGCTTTATTTTTTGCATCTATGATCTATTATTATACGATTTATCATACTTCAGTTATATCTAGTCTATCAATTATTATCTCCCATGTTCACAATCACATTTGGTTACATCTTGTACAAATGTTGTTTCCTAGTTTATTGGTACGATATGGTCTGTTTGATTGGTAATATAAACTGAGTATGTTTGAAATATAATGATTTCTATTGCAGAGGCTGAGATTGGTGTTTTGGACTTAACAGACAATGTTAAACAGGAAGAAGGTTAAATAAGGACTTTAGACTGCTCGTATGGGTTTTATGTGTCATTAGTACGATCGATAATTCACTGTTTCATCACGTGATAAGTCATTAGGGGCAAAACCCTACAAGTTATAACAGTTAACACCATAAATTGATCTTAATTAAATTAAAAATTAGGAAGTATTAGATAGTTGTTTTTATTCCACTATAGGGAAATTTTTTATTTCTTTTTCTTGTTAAAGTTTGTTTGTGTTATGTTTCTGTTCCATTACCGAATCTCCTAATGTAGCATAAGCCACCAACCAGCATTCTCTAACCCACTTTGTCCTCAACATTCCTTTCTGGTTCTATGCAATTTTTGTTGATTTTTCTCATATTTGTCTCCATTTCTCGACGTAATGTGTTCTTTGGTCTTCCTCTTCTCATTTGGCCTTGAGGACTCCAAGGGAGGGTTTGTCTTGTGACCCAGTTGGGTGCTTTTCTCAATGTGTGTCCTATCCACTTTCAACGCTTCATCTTATTCTTCCTGATTTCTTCCTCCATTGCAATCTGGTTTGTTCTCTCTTACAGTACGTCGTTGCTGATAGTGTCTGACCAACGGATCCGAAGTATTTTGCATAGAAAAGCTTTAATAAACACTTTTATCTTCTGGATGATGTTTTTCGTAGTTCTCCATGTTTCCACCCCATACAGTAGAACTGTCTTGACATTTGTGTTGAAAATTCTGACCTTGGTGTTGGTTGACAGTTGTTTTGAGTTTCAGATGTACTTCAGTTGTAGATATATATGCTGCTTTTGTTTTACTGATTCGCGCCTTCACATCTGCATCAGATCCACTGTGTTCATCAATGATGCTGCCTGGATATTTGAAGCAGTTTACATCTTCCAAATCTTCTCGATCAAGTGTGATTCGATTGTTGCATACTGTGTTCGAATATAGTTATTAATAATAATCCTTTTCTTTCCAATTCTCTATTTTCATTTGTTTCATACTATTTCTTATCTCAATGTAAAATTCTAATACATATTTGGTTGTGAGTAGTTGATGAGAAACCATAAAATATAATGAATTCATATTATTCGGCATCAATATTTGTTCTGGTTTTGTTTAAATTCATGCGTTTTTAGCGTTTTCTGACGATTTACTTTTCTACGGGATGGGGTAGCTAACCTCATGCCCAACCCTCCTTTATCCGGGTTTGGGAACGGCAGTAGCCCCAAAGGGGCTCCAGACGGAGGAAAATAACTGCATGAAATTATCAATTTTATATTCATGACCATATCATCAAGGATTGAATTCAAATCATTTTATGTTTACTTAAATATTTTTTATATAATTAATTAGTTATTAAAGTAAATGAGTGATTATATGGAAGTTATTTTATTGTTAAATCGAAATGTGTACAACGATTTAAACTTCTTGATTGCGGTCCATACAGAGATTTCAATCTTCAATAGAAAGATTATACTAATTAAAACTATTTGATTATTCCTAAAACAGTTATTAACACCATTAGATACCAGCCGGTTCAGTGGTCTAATGGTTAAACGTTCGCGCGTGAGACTCATAGATCCTGGGTTCGAATCCCGCAAGGTGAAGTCGTTGATGCGCACTGCTGAGGAGTCCCACAATAGGACGAAATGACTGTCCATAGATTTCAGGTTTTCCATGGTGGTCTAGCTTCAATCGACTCATGAGTTAAACTATTGAAATGGAAATGTGTACAACGCTTTAAACTTCTTGATTGGGATCCATACAGAGATTTTATTCTTGGATAGAAAGTTTGTATTAATTAAAGCTATTTGATTATTCCTAAAACAGTAATTATGAAGAAAAGTTATGAAAAGTTAAGAAAAAATATTTTACCTACTTATGTTAAGTGTTCTACTGACAAGATATTCATATTCCTGCTTAAAAGTGATTATAGCAAGCAATATGTGATCCCAACATGCATCAAACATGACTTATGGCAGTAGAAGAAATTCAAAAATTAGAAGAATTTTGTCATAGATATATGATATGAATAAAGTTACATTCAGTCACAGAATCAAACATAGTATATTGGTTAATAAGATTAGGCGTTTTCATAGACCAATATGTTTAAAACATGTGTTAAATTTTGCCAACTGTTGTCCACCTTGATATTCAGTATTATTTAAAGTAGAATCAAAATTGTACAATACTAGTAACACTCAAATCCATGAAATTATTCATCATTAGACTTAGTCGTATTAGTAGGTGCAGGCTATTTAATTGCAGTCTACATCTCAAAGATCTTGATTAATAAAAACCATAGTCGATCTGAATATGGTGCATTCATTTACTTTTTATTTACCTCTAGAACCTGAGTCTTAAAGTTATTTTATTATTTCTATTCTATGAATTCATTTGTTCTTCTAGAGTTCTATATTCGATATCTCATCTTTTTGGTATTAGTGATATTATTACTTGTTCTACCACTCCGACATTTATCAAGTTAATTTTATCTAGAAGCACTGGATGGCCGTTTCGTCCTATTGTGGGGCTGCTCAGCAGTATGCATTCAGGATCCTGTTTACAGGATTCGAACCCAGGATGTTCATCCTTGAGCGTGAGAATTTTCAGAGTTCTAGTGAGAAGCCATGATCAGTAGAGCTAATCCGTGTCAAGTAGAGACAGGTATCTGTCTCATTACAATGAAAGAGGGTCTCACAGTTTTGCGGATTAATTGACGTTTGAAATTAACACCGTTGGATACCAGCTAACACAATAGTCTAAATGTTAGGCGTTCGCGCGCGAGACCGATGACACTGAGCTCGAATCCCGCTAGCAGGATCATGGATGCGCACTGCTGAGGAGTCCCTTAATAGGACAAAACGGTCATCTAGTACTTCCAGCTTTTCAATGGTGGCCTAATATCAATCAGTTCGTGATTTCAATCAAAAACTTAATAATCTCTACAACCCCATACCAATAATTTTATCTCACATTTTTGATGTAGTGTATCAACCTTAACTGATCCATTTTTATATCAATGTCTTAATTTGTTTCCAACTGACTATCTAATATCTATGAAATATGATGTATACCTTAGAGACATTCATCTTGATTCTCTATATTCTTTCATTAATTTAAATATATACAAATGAAATATAAGTTTGATTACATAAGTCCCCCTTTCCTTTTTCTAAAAAAAAGAAAATATTTTTTTTTCTTTCAATCAGACTTTAAATATTCATGAGTTCACATCTACAAGTTCACCAATTTCTCCACCTCCTACACCTCCATTACATTTAATTCATTCAACTAATAGTGTATATACATCACCATCATCATCATCAACAGCAATACCAATGACAACACCACAAATGACAACATGGAATTCATCATCACAAAAATTTCTTCATTATAAACGTAATGATTTATCATTATTTCATGGAATACAACATCGAAATGAAAATCATACTTTACCATATATAAATTATTCAAAATATCGATCAACTTATAATATTCATAATAATACTGATTATACTACTGATAATCATCATCATTATATTAGTAGTATTGGTATAACTAATAAACAATATAAAGATTCACCTTTAAAATGCTTAAATAATACAATAAATTATTATTCAAATTATAATCCTATTCAATTGAATCATATCCCTGTTAATACAATAACTGATTCATTACAAAGCAATAACAATGATAATAATAGTAATATAGATTATCAACAGTTATTAAACACTGTCTACATTAATACTGATGATCTAAATCCTATTGATCATGATCAATTTTCTACAAATTCTATATATGATCTACATAATAATAATAATAATAATAATGTGAGTAATCCCGATTCATCTACCTGTTCATTACGTAATAGTAATATTACAAGATTTGAACATCAGAAATTACGTAAACATGATCCTCAACAACAATCCATGAATTTAACAGATATAAATTTCATTATAAATTCATCAACTACTGATATATTCAATTATAATAGTAGTCAAGTAATTTATAAAAAAATTAATAATAATACTATTACTACTAATAATAGTACTATAAACTATACAAATTCTATTAATCATAATCATAATAATACTTCAATAGAAGATTATTATTATTATCATATAACAGAGAATAATAAATTATTTATTAAATATGATACATTATCTATACAAGAGAAAGAGATTTATCAATATAATGCTTATAAGAAACCATTATTTAATTCCCATACATTAATTTATATGGCAATGAATTCATTAAAAAAGAATAAAATTACATTTCTTGATATATGTGATTGGATACAATTACATTTTGCATTTTATCGTTATCAAAATGACAATTATTGGTGGCAGGTAAATTTAAAAAACAAAAAAAAAAAGAATAATGCATTCTTATAATTTGTGATTATTAATTAGGGAACAGTGAATTATCAGTCGGATTAATGATGCATAAAATATGTACGAGAAGTCTCGAGTCCTGATTGATCCTGCTTTCCGCGTTGCTCAACCAGTTAAGTCCAGAACATTAATCCGAAACTCTGTGATATGAATTATTACATTTCAAACATACTGGGTTTATATTACCAACTAGACAGACCACATCTTACCAATGAAAAAAAGGAAACAACATTTCTATACTTATTTACTTACACCTGTTACTCCTCGTAAAGAAACATAGGCCGCTCACTAGCATTCTCTATCTAACCCTGTCTTGGGCAATCCTTTCCAGCTCTTTCCAGTTCTTATTCATCCTTTTCATATCTGATTCTATTTCCCAACGTAATGTGTTCTTTCGCCTTCCTCTTTTCCGCTTCCCTTAAGGAGTTCATGTTAGGGCTTGTCTCGTGATGCAGTTTGATAATTTTCGTAATATATGTTCTATCCATTTTTATCGTCTTTTCCTAATTTCCTCTTCAGCTGGAAGCTGGTTTGTTCTCTCCCACAAAAGGCTGTTGCTGATGGTATCCGGCCAATGGATGTTGAGTATCTTGCGTAGACAGTTATTTATAAATACTTGTGGCTTCTTGATGGTAGTTGTTGTACTTCACCAAGTTTCAGCTTCGTACAGTAAAACTTCCTTGACGTTGGTATTGAAGATCCTGATTTTGATATTTCCACAAGATTTGGCCAAATGTAGCTGTGAATGAGGGAGGTAGTAATTGATAGATTGGGTATAACTCAAGAATGGTAGATTATATAATAATAATAATAAAATAAAGCTCATAATAAGAGGGATACGAAAATAAATAGTTTAGTTATTTAACAATTATACGATAAAAACATATGTATAGTATTAGTCCATAAATGGATCCCCAACAGTTACCATTCATTATGCTTATCGGAACATAACAGTTGATAAGATTGTTATTAGGTTTTCTTTGTGTTATAATTTGTCGGTTGAATACTGATTATCTTGTCTCTTTAAATGCTATATTTTTTATATCCGGTCATCATTGATTGTTGTGTCGGAAATGGTTATCACTTAGTCTCGAAATAAGGGACCTCTGAAATTCTCACGACGCGGAAGTAAGTACACAAAGACTGGTATATGTGAAGATTTATTAACCCCTAAAACACGACCGTGACGAAGACAACGACAACCCTAGTCGAAAATACACTCATTTATATATTGATTATACACACACTTTGATTAATAATTTGGATGAAATCATATATACAAAAAGTACTTACTTACTTATGCCTGTTACTCCTAATGGAGCATAGGCCGCCGACCAACATTCGCCAACCCACTCTGTTATTTGCCAATATAGCTTCACAGAAACAATATATTTTATTAAAACACCATTTAGTATGATGATGGTATGATGATACCCCCAAATGCCCTGATATGGCCGAGAGTGGGGAGAGTCAGCTCTCCCTCTCGAAATTCTCTCATGTGCCAACGTGCATGCAACCACTGCCAGGGAAGTCCAACTCACTGCCTTCTCGTGGCATTACTGTTTTTTACGAAATCGAGAGGATAAAAAGTAAATGTCCGGTGTCTTAACCGGGTTGGTGGATATGAATGATCCACCTAGGGGACTTGGTAAACCCTGATTACAAACCAATGGTGCACATGAGCTCCAGGATCCTGAAGGAACAAATGGAATATGAACTAATTATTGGTCACCGGCTACCATGAGACTGTATCTCCCAACGTTGTTCCACTGACTTTTTGATCAGACCTTTAAGTCGAAAGCTCGGGGTGTAGCCCCTTATGTAAACCACCTACTTTGGTTTGGGTACCCGGTCAATCTCCCAGCCCTCACATAAATCGGATGATTTATGTGGCGCATATCTATTTGGCCACTTCTTTAGAAGTGACTTACGCTAAGTCACAAGACGTCAGAGAAACTAATTTTTCTACTCATTTGGATATCACAAATATATTATTTATTTATAACAATCTACCCAATGCTCAATTTATTCGAAATTATCATATCAAATCTTGGTAATGATACGTATTATTGTTATTATTATTATCAATAATCATTAGTCAATTGAAATAGACTCAGTGAATTCGAATATATTTTGCTGAATACATTATTATTCCTCTTATTTGATCTTGTCTAATCGGAAGTTTTATTAGAACAGATACGCTGATATCAGTGTAATATAGTAGTATGAATGCACCGTAATAGGATTTAAACTTTCATCATCAAGTTAAACAGCCTCAGATGTTACCAATGGATTGCTCGAGTCTCAATTAAACACTTTTAGGATGTAGATATTTACAATTGATTAGTCACTGTGTAGTAGAGACCATTTTATATCCTTATCTAGTCCTCTAGTGTTGAACGAATTCTATCAATCAAGTTGTATTGTGGTCATTCACCTAACTAAATGGAAATCAAATAAACTGCGTTGACCTATTAGATCGGTGAAAATATTCGGCAGGAAACCATAGACCTAAGTGACGCATGTTAGAACCGAACAGCTAATACTAGTATCTCAAAGATTATAGATACGTCTTCCTGAAGTGTCAGCTAGCGTGAACCCTAGGTTCAAAATTTTCTGCCGACTGGGATCAGTCAACTAACATCTCAGAATAGTGAAAAAGATCTCAACACAATTAGACTAGTGACCACATTTTAATTTGATGGAAAGAATTCAGTCAGCACTTAAAAGATCAGAAAAAATGACAATTATCATCACTTAGTGATCATTCATTCGTATATTATTGAAATATAGCGGTTAAGTTTAGAACTTACATGTATATTACTTACTTACACCGGCTATCGCTCGCGTAGCATAGGCCCCCTGATCAAGACTCTCCAACCAACTCTGTCCTGAGCAATCCTTTCTAGTTGTTTACAATCGCAATACATTCTTTTGATGTTCGCTTCTAATTCCCTATGCAATAAGTATTTTAGTGTTCCTCATTTATTTTTCCCTTCAGTCTTTTAATTTCCACAGTATATATCCTATCTACCTCCAACGTCTTTCCCTAATTTCCTCTTCAGCTGGAAGTTGGTTTGTTCTTTCCTACAGTAGGTTGTTGCTGATGGTATCCGGCCAACGGATATTGAGTATCTTGCGCAGAAAATTGTTTATAAATACTTGTAATTTTTGATGATCGTTGTGGTAGTTCTCGAAGTTTCACCCCCATACAGTAGAACTGTCTTGACAATTGTATTGGAGATTGAGACTTTGATATTGGTTGAAAGTTGTTTTGAGTTCCATACATTCTTCAATTGTGGAAGTGAAACTCTTGTTCTGACAATCCGCGCCTTCATATTTGCATCAGATTCTACTCGTTCATCGATGCTGCTGACCAGGTACGTGAAAGATTCCACATCTTACAGAGTTTCTCCATCAACTATGATTAGGTTGGTGTTCTCTGTGTTTTATTTGAGGATTTTACTTCTTTCCTTTTGTATGTTAAGACCTACTGGTGCAGAAACTGCTGCCGCTACAATGATTATTTTGACCTGCATTTGTTGGTGTGTTTGGGGTAGAAGAGTTAGGTCATCTGCAAAGTCCAAATTATTCAGCTGTATCCAAGCTGTCTATTGTATTTCGTGCTTCCCCTCATATGTGGAGGTCTTCATAATTCAGTTAACCACCAGAAGAGAAAGAGAGAGATAGCAGGCAGTATTGTTTGACTCAGGCCCTCACTCTCTTGTTTACTTCTGTATATTCAGCTTGTGCCGTGGCTTTCTCTGTTGTTTTTTGGTCATTTTTAATCTGTCTTCTTGTTCTTCCTTTCTTGAACCCTATCCAGGTTTTTGATAGATATCCATTCCTTATGTTATTGCTTTTAGTAGCCCAGAACCTCCTGACACGTTGAAGCTAGTGCTTCATTGACCCCTGTCCAGTTGTTTTTCATGGTAGTTTCTTCTTCTTCGAATAGATCTTGTGAGGTTTGAAACCTGTTGTTGAGAGCTATCTTGAACTCGTCAAGTTTGTCAGTATCTCTAAGGAAAACTGTATTAAACCTTCGTAATGCTATTTCACTAGTTGTCCAGCGCTGCTTTAGCTTCAGTTTCATCTTGGCCACAACCAGAGGGCGATCTGAAGCTATGTCAGCTCCTCTTTTGGTTCTCACATCTTCTATTGACCTTCTGAATCTTTTAGTGATGCGAATATGGTCGATTAGGTTCTCTGTAGTGTGATCCAGTGATACCTATGGAGATTTGTGTGTGTGTTTCCGGATTAATATTGTGACGTCTACAACCGATTTGTTGAATGAACATAAATTTGCAAATCTGTCACCATTCTCATTTCTTTCTCCCAGTTCATGTCGTCTCATGATATATTCATAACCGTTATTATCCATTCCGACTTTGAAGTTTACATATCCCATCAGGATGGTCAGGTTGTTTCTCGGGCACTTCGTTATGATCGTTTACAGCCTCCAGTAAAACTGATCTTTATCGTCATCATTGCTATCATTGGTGGGTGCATAATATTGGATAACATTCATTATAATTCCCTCCTTCTTTGTTTTGAATGAGGCTTTGATCATCCTGGATACATGAGATTCCCATCCTATAAGTGATTTAGTGCTTCTTCGGAGAGGATCAGAGCAACTCCCTGTGTGGAGCATTTTCCTCATTGTGACCTGAGTACAGCAACATCTCTACAGCACCTAACCTTTGCTGTCCAGCTTGGGTCAAATGGATTTCATTTATTCCAAGCACCAACAAGTCATATCTCCTCATTTCCGTTGCTATTTGATTAGTCCTCGCGGTCTCTTATGTTGTCTAAGCATTCCATGTATCAATAAAAATTGTTTCTCTGGTTGTCAGAAGGATAATAGGTATCGTGACTTCCGAAGAATATCGGCGTTATAACTCTTCTGAATGAAGATCATTTTACTTCCAGAGCAGTTTAAACGTTTTAAATTGTTTATTACGGTCAGTTGTTTTAGCAAGGTTGTTTTCTACGGGATGGGGCTGCCGATCCTATCCCGAGACCTTCTCCTTTATCTAGGGTTGGAACCGGCAGTGACCCTACAGGTGGATTTATATATATATATATATATATATATATATATATATATATATATATCCTTCTTGATGTCAATTATCAAATACAACTGGCAAGTTACTTCATAATGCAATTGCTGTGTTAATTTCTTCCTAATGGCTATGGAATTAAGCTGTTTATGGAAATTTATTTACTAGTTAACAAATATGGGTTCTTATTGTGAGCCAAGTAATCTCTGATGTTTTTAGAGGCACGTAAGCAGTTGTCACATTCCATTTACTTACATCGTATAAATATACTTCTTACTGAGGTACCTGAAGAGAGAACTGAATTAATACCTGTCTTAGGGTGCTAGAAGCATTGTCGTTGGGTTCAACGGACAAGTACTTGGAGCTCCTCGACTATTTTTTAATATGCTAGCTCTATACTTTAAAGGTTTGACAGCCAGTGACTAAAATCTGTGTGGTAAGGTAAGACTTGTCCTCTTCTACGCAATCGCTAGTTGTCAGAGGGGGGAATACCTTATTACCCTTATCACCCTGTTTGAACAGCAATACGACATCGACACTCTTTAACCCCCTAATGTTTGTTATAGTAGAACCTAGAACAACAAACTTCTAGTCACCATAATTTCACTGTGTTGTCATAATATCCAATATCTACTATTACCTCAAAGCCAGTAGTCATAGTTGATTCCTCAGCTATTCATTTTGTCTTGGTCATGTGATATATTAACTTGGAATAATACACATCATATTCAGGATCTGTATTAACTATAACTAATTAAATAAATTTAGTCCTAGTCCTACTGTTCTTATTTTTTTTTTACAAACATTTATATTGATTTCTATTTCATCTTTATCTTTTATTGTAATCAGGATATTATTCGTAAACATCTTACATGTAGTCGTTGTTTTCAACGTGTCCCTAAACGTAAAGAAGAATTAGATGGTCGTAGTGATTTATGGCGTATTAATCCAGAATTACAAAATCAATTAATCAATAATAAAATTAGTTATAAATTTTTAATGGCTTGGAAAAATCAAACTTTATCTAAATTACCTGATTTAATCGATTATATGGAACAATATAATTCAATATTAAAATTATCATCAGAAATCAATAATGATCAACATATAGATCATAATGATCCTCTTATTATTATTAATGATAATACTAATAATAATAATAATCAATTAATCAATTTATCAAAACGTAAATGTATCAATCAATTAGATAATTTAATTGATTATAATCAATCATCTAATATATATCTTAATATTGATCATACAACTCAATCAAATTCTAGTTCATCACCAGAATTATCTGATTTATATACATCATCACCATCAGAATTATTACCGGAATCAACAACAGATTTACCATTATTAATCGATAATGATTATTATTTAAATAATTCATTGAATTCAATTAATTTCAATGATAATATTCATAATAATAGTAATAGTAATAATAATAATAATAATAATGATAATGTATTAAGAAATAATATATTACATCATTCTATTCATTCATCACCATTAAATTTAACTGAACAAGATCAATGTGATCTACAAGCATTATTTAATGATCATGAAACTCATTCTATATTAAATGATCATTTCTATTATACATCTAATTCATCAATTTCATCCTTTGATCTCAATAATGATAATAATAATAATAGTAATAATACTAATAGTAATAATAATAGTAATAATAATAGTAATGGATTAATTGTAGAAGAATTATCAAAAGCTAGTGGATTAAATGAAATTCCACCAATAAATGATTTTGATAATGATGAATTAATAGATCCATTAGATTTAACTATTCATAGTGTACATTCACGTTTCACTAATGATTGGTGGTCAAATCATTCAAATATAAATAATAATAATAATAATATTAATCATGATAGTTTAACAGAATCAATGACTAATTTTATTAATTCTACATTAAATGAATTAGAAAAGAAAGAAAAAGAAGAAAACAACGACAATGACGACGTCGACGACGACGGTGGCTTCGATGATGATGAACTAGTGATGAGAAAACGAAATAATAGAATTGATCAAAGAATTGATAAAACATTCACTCGTAATATTATTAATCCTATTCATGAAAATTTAATATTAAACAATAAACAAGAAGAAAATATAAATGAAGTAAAATTACATGTCAATTCTTTATCATCTGATTTAATAACAAATGAATTATCATTAAGTCAAACCTTATCATTATTATCATCATCATCATCATCATCATCTGATTTAACAATATTATCACCAAGATTATTATCTATAACGAATCAAACAGAAATGATTAAATCGTCATCATCATCACCACCACCGCCACCGCCACCATCAACATCCTTATCCTCATCATCATCATCAATTCCAATGACATCTTCAATGATATCTAAAATCAATTATTATTGTAAAACCAGTGAAACTAATAGTATTATTATCAATGAAGATGATGCATTTTTTCATCAATTACAATTAAACATTTCAACAAATAAACCTAATAATAATAATGATAATAATTTAATTCCTTTAAATCATATAAATGATCATAATGATATAGATGAAGAGAATATTAATCATAATCATAATCATAATCTATTAGAACAGCCATATCATCAACATTGGCTTGATCATAAAATGAATTTAGATGATCTTGATAATATTTTAGGACTTCATTAATATCAATAATATAATATTGATTTATCAATAATATCAATCATAGGGCAAAAGAAAAAAAAGGATCAATTTATGATCTATTTAATTCTTTTATATAACATGACTAAGTTTACTATTATTATTATTCTTATTATTATGATTGATTATCTGATTAAATAATTCATTCTAACCCTTTTTCCGATCAAACTTATTCTAATTTTTCAAGACAATATAAGATTCAAATAAAGATCCAAGTATTCAATAATATCAATGATATTTATTAGTTGCCTTAGATAAAACTATAATTTATGAATAAACCAATTAATCCAATTCATAATAATAATAATAATAGATCTTAAATTTCAGTATGAAATTTGTTTTAATTGAATAACATTTCTTTTTTTTTGTTGTTGTTGTTGTTGATATTTTACCTGATATCAATTTATGATGAAAACAAATAAACCAACCCCTAAATCTAAACTTTAACCCTTTAACCATCAATTAGAAATTACAATTTTGAATTCTTATTTTAAGCCTAAAGAGAACTTTAATGTTGCTCAACTATCATTCATAAATTATCGTCTTATTATACCTTATTTTATAATTGACTTCATTCACTATTATTATTATTATTATTCTTGGTACTTTATAAATTAATAAGTATGATCATCTTGATTTGAAAGTTTCAATTACCCTGAAAATTTCTTTCACAATATCGATTGATAGGTAAACAAAAACATATCTCCCCAGTTACAAAAAAAAAATAAAAAAAAAATAATCTATGATCCCTAAAATGTATTTTTTTTAAGAAAAAAATTTTTTAAAAAATCACCTTTGTTTATACATGTTTATGAGTGTGTGTATGTGTGTGTGTGTGAGAGAGAGAGAGAGTGAGTGAGTGAGAGAAAAGGAGAAAGGGGGGTGTATGAATGAGATCTATTCTTATGATCATAATTATTTAAAGTTATATTGTATGCATGTATATTTACTGTTTGTTTGTTTGTTTTGTTTTGTTTATTTTTTATTAAATATTCATGAACCTTCTATATTATCTATTTCTAATGAATTACTGATATTCATTAACATAAAATGGAGAATATTTGAAATGTTTGATTATTAATGGAATAGTACAAAAGATTTTGGAGTTTAGAACAATACAATAAATATAGTTAATTATATATATATATATATATATATATATATATATATATATATATATATATATATACGCACATACGCACGCACACACAGACACACACACATACATACATATACTCATATGGACTGCTTATGAAATATTTCTTGTTTCCATGATCTATATCATTTGAATATTTTCACAAATTTTTTAATGAAATCTGTAGGAAACATTTTTTTCTTTTTTTTGTTTTTCGAATAAATATATATCTATGAAATGAAATTTCTAGTTATAATCTTTTATTTCCTATTTGATTTATTAATTGATTCCTTAAACTATTGTAAAAAACAGGATCATATTGTGATTAAGATCCATATTGATCAAATAGGTATTCATCATAACAGTTTATTTATTTTAACACATAGATATTGATACAAGAAGGCACCAAATACATATGCGCCACACAAATCTCAATTGATTTGTGTGAGGGCTGTGATACTGACCGGATGCCCAAACTGAAGCAGGTGGTTTTCTTAGGGGATCACACCCGGAGCCTTTGACCTGAACGTCTGATCCACAAGGCAGTGGAGCATCGTAAGGAGATGCAGTCCCATGGTAGCCGGTGACCAACGATTGGTTCATACGCCATTTGTTCCGTCAGAATACTGGACTCCATGTCCACCATTGATTTGGGATCCGGTTATAACGCCGGACATTCTCTTTTGGTCCTCTTATTTTCGTAAACAACACCCGTGGTGCGAGAAGGCAGTGAGTAGGACTTCCCTGTCAGAGACTATATACGCGTGACCATGTGAGAGCATTTGGAGTGGGAGAGCGGACTCTCCCCACTTTCGGCCGTACCAGGGCATTTCGGGGGCAAAGTGTGGCAACTGCTTGTTGCAATGTAATGAACAGTTGTTGTTTTGTGCGTGTGTGTGTATGATACTCTTTGTCAGTATATATTCATAAGCCTATCAAGTAATGAACCCAGGATTGTCAAGGCTCATAATGAGTGTTCAAATTTTTCGGTTAGGAAGTTCCCACTTAATAGTTTACATTTTTAATTTTAGTTAATTCATAATAATACATCAACATTATTCACTATCTTTGTTGATAATTATCAGATATTTAACATGATTTAACTCCCCTTATTACAACTTCAGTAGTTACTTATTGAACTTATTCTCTAAGTAAGAAGATGATGATTGTTGTTTAACAATGAATTTAGCTATTCAGTAATCTTCAGAACACCTTATCAACAAACTGATGTAGTTTTATAATTTGATTCTTTTTAACGAGTATAAAATTAGAAAAGTTATATGGATTCATTTATTGTTATGTTTAATAAAGCCCACAAATGCTCTGGTATGGCCGAGAGTGGGGAGAGTCACCACTCTCTCTTCAAATAATCACACATGGCCACGTGTATACAACCACTGTCAGGGAAGTCCTACTCATTGCCTTCTCGCGGCATTACTGTTGTTTACAAAACCGAGGGTTGGTGGATATGGAGAGTTCACCTAGGGGAGTTGGCAAACCACGATTACAAAACAATGCTGCACATGAGCTCCAGGATCCTGAAGGAACAAATGGCATATGAACCAATTATTGGTTACCGGCTGCCATGGAACTGCATCTCCTGACGCTGTTCCAATACCTTGTGGATTAGACCTTTAGGTCGAAGGCTCGGTGTGTAGCTCCTTATTTAAACTACCTTCAGGTAGTATCCTAGCCCTCACACAAATCGAATGATTTACGCTTCAAATAAAGATCTATTTTGTCCAATATTACAAGCCGATATTTTATTACATTCAAATAACCTCTATATTTCAATTCATTGATGCTAACTATATATAAATCGAATAGGTATAATCATAATTCATTTTTTATAGAACATTTCTTTGACTTATGATATAGAATTGATCTGCTTGAATATCTGGAATATCTATTCTTGCCATTTAGATATTTCAATAAGTTATCTGTTTTTTCTTGTTTGTTTTAATACATCATGATGTCAACTAATTGCATAAGCTATTCATGTGCGTTTTTGAAAAGTTTACGATCTTCCTGTGTACAAGTAATAAAAATGTACAATCGGAAACATCGTAGTTGTTGGTAATATGCAATGAAAATAATGTACATCATTTAAATGTCGACTGACTAGACTGTTAACATCAAACAGGCAATTATTCAATATTAATCGTCATGATGAACCAAGAAATAAGAAACAGAAACTTGTTGAAATACTTTGTGCTAAGAATTTTATATTGTACCCAAAAATATAATATTGAATAAAGCTGATAATCTCCACAAAATCCCTTCTGATACTAATCAACATATGCTCACTAGTGACTGGTCTCAAGATCCTAGAGCTCTAGTAAGAAACAGTAACCAGTGGATTTCAACCGGGTCAGTTGTGAGATAGTAACTCGCTGACGACTATGGTGGATGTGTCGCTTAATTTCGTAGATTAGTTGAAATTAGACATTAACACCATTGGATACCAGCCGGATCAGTGTTCCAATGCTTAAGCGCTCGTTTGTGAAACTGATAGGTCCTGGGTTTAAATTCCGCTCGTGGATGCTCACTGCTGAAGAGTCCCACTCATAATCTGAATTATTGAAATAATAATATAGATATAGAAAATATAATGAATCGTAATATCAGTTTCTATTGAGCAAAAAAAGTACACGTTCATACAGACTTCTCAGTTAGAGTACACTGAAGTTTAATAATACTAAATCCCTTTATTTTGTTCGCCCACTAGTTTTAACTTGGTGTTCATAATCGCATATAATAATAATTATAGTAGCATATACTGATTATATTGAAATTAAGTATTCATGAATTAACAGAATTCAATAGTTTGAAAAAGTATGATACCCATTTCAAAGTCAGTCTGCTTAAATATCTGGTCTACCTGTTCCTGTCATCTAGATATGCCAACAAGTTATCTGTTTTCTTATTTCTTTTAACACATCATTATGCTTATTACTCTCATAACTTAATCAAGGGCGTTTATGAAACGTTTACGACCATTTTCTGTACAAGTTACAAAAAAGCATATTCACAGACATCATGATGACTGACATGTAATATACATTGAAACCAATGAACATTGTTCAGATATTGATTCTCAAACTTCTAACATCTAATTGGCAATCACTCAATATTTATCTCAAGGAGATCGATCAAGAAATATAAAAAAAAAAGAAACTTTTTGAATTATTTTGTGCTGAGAATTCTAGATTGCACCAAGAACATAATACTGAATAAACTTATATATTCACAGTCATATAATATAGCCTTGTAAGTCAGAATAATTTTATATTGGTTTTCAAGAGAACTAGATACCATTCAAACTTTCATGTGATAACTCAAACAGTACAGCTCAATCTAGTTCCCACGAGAACTAGACACTATCCAAGCTTAAGTTTCATAACTCTAGCAGTACAGCTTAATCCCATTTCCCAGAAGAACAAAACACATTATATAAACTTTAATACCTACAATCGGATTAGTACAACTCAATCCTGTGGTACAATCATACAAGTACCTAACACCCTAGTGTTAGGTACTCTTATTTGTTAAATTTATCAAATACTTTGTAAATAAAACTTAATTTTATAAACTATCAACATTAATAATCAATATTTGAATAATTAATCTAATTTAGTTTATGTTTCTTTTTTGTGTTTAGGAGATCGTTACTAACCAATTCTTATGATATAAATATATAGGGTGACCTTAAATGTTAAATATAAACAAACAATTAATAGTCTATTCAATAATTGTGTATATAGTGCAAAAATTATTATTTTTGTTTTATCTGTTTTGTTATTCATTGTTAGTAACCAATTATAGATAAACACCGAAAGAGGGAGAGAGAGAGAGGGGGGAAGTAGAGAGAGAGAGTTGGGGAGAGGGGGAGAAAGAAAGAGAGAACTATATTACCAAACAAAACTTAT